TCTCTCACACACACACACACACACACACACACACACACACACAGAAAGACAGACACACAGACAGACAGACAGACAGACAGACAGACACACACACACACACACACACACACACTTAAAAATGAGAAAAGAAATCTTTAAAAGGCAAAAACAGCAATGAAAATGTTTGGGGACATAGCTCAAGGATAGAGCTCTTACCCCAAATGCACAAGGCACCAAATCCAACATCAAATAAATAAATAAATGTCCAAAGAAACAAACTGAATGTTTAACCTAAAGGTGTAGAAAAAGAAGTTTTCTGTGAACTACCACTGAAAAGGATCTGGGCAGCTAATTTAGCATCAGACACAACAGTCACAGAGAGAAGTGTGTAACTGATAAGATGGAAATTGTATAAATTGAAGAATAAAAACTTTATTTAGATGGCCAAGAGAGGAAGAAGCCTCAAATTACTAAAATCAGGAGGGAAAGTATGTAGATTTTGCTACTGATATCTTGGAAACATAAAGAATTATAACGAATTATAATGGCACTATGGATAGTTAGATGCCAGCAGGTTGAATAGCCTAGATGGCATGGACAGATTTCTAGAAACACCCAAACTACCAAAACAGATGCATAGGAGAAATACAAGTCTTAACAAAGTTATAGTCAGAAAACTGGCATCAAAGAAAGACCTAGGATCCAACGCTTCACTGACAGAATCTGCCAAGCATTTTAGATAAGAAATTATTTCATGGGGCTGGAGAGATGGCTCTATAGTTAAGAGCACTGGTTGCTCTTCCAGAGGACCTGGGTTCAATTCCTGGCACCCACATGGCAACTCCGGGAAATCTGACATCCTCACATGAGCAAAACACCAATTCACATAAGATAAAAAAAAATAATAAATTATTAGAAAAAAATTATTCCAATCCTTCCCAAATGCTTCTAAAAAGTATAAGAGGAACAGGTTGAGGTGGTGTACACCTTTAATACCAACACATGGGAGGCAGAGGCAGGTGGACCATTGTGAGTGTAAGGCTTGCCTGGTCTACATAGTGAGTAGTCGAGTTCTAGGGCAAGGTGATATAGTGAGACCCTGTCTCCAATAAAATAAAAGAAAAGTGAGTCGTGTGTGTGTGTGTGTGTGTGTGTGTGTGTGTATGTGTATGTATATGTGTTTGTGCAGCATTTCCTAATTCACTGGGCCAAGGGTATTGCAAAAGAATAACAGACTGATTGATATCCCTTGTATATTTGGGTAAAAAATCCTGTGCAATGAACTAACAAAACCCAACCACACATCAAAAGGATGGTAGGATTTATCCCAAGATTGCAGGGAGAGTCACATATGAAAATCATGACCTGGGCATGTGACATCACCAGGCCAAAATGGTTGTTTATAGATGTGGAGTTACTTTTTGCGGGTGATGAAAATCTTCTGGAACCAGATAGTGGTGATATCTGCACAATTTTATGAATATAAAACCCACTAACTATATACTTTTAAGTGTTTGAAATATTGACTTTGATGTGATGTGATTTTTACCTTAAAAGAAAAGAAAAAACAACCCTGAGTGCGCCTTAGAGTTGACAGCAGCAAGTGTTCATTACCTGAGACTCAATACCCCAAGTGTGTCCTGGGAGAAAGAACTCTGGAATCATCTTTTGAAGTGCCGAAAGCTAGTGGTTCTTAAATGCTCATTCTAGGCTTTCACAGCTGAGGCTTGTTGAGTTTGGCACTAATGGTGGGGTGACTGTGTGCCCCTCAGCTGAGCTCATCCACCTCTGGAGAGATGATGCCACTGTCCCCAGGGGTGGGAGGGCGGCCAGAGGCCGGGGTGAGCTTATTGGTGTTGACAGGTGGTCACCGTCTGTGTCCATCAGCAGAGGAGATGGCAGGGCCACCTGCATTCCTAGGGGGAAAAGGATGCTCCAGGCCTGTGGCCAATCTGGAGGCCTTTGTGGGGATCCTGACAGTTGATGGGGGAGGGGAGGGCAGACTCACCCTGAATTCCCCTTCCTGTCAACATCCTTGTTAGTTGTGGGACGGAGCCTCCCTGAACACTGACAGGGCTCCCTGGTCATGTGTCTCCCCAGGATCACAAGGCATGAGCTCAAGTGTTGGCTTTAAGAGCAAAGAGCCTCTTAGATCATCGGCTGTCATTCTGTTTTCTTTAGGACTTGGCAGAGCGGTCCCGGCGGTTTAATGAG